TAAGTATTACTTTTAATTAGTTTTCTATTGGTTTTAAAGGATACTAATTGGCCTATTGCAATATTTTATTTTAATTGATTTTAAAATGTGGTATGTTTTTTGTATTTGTTTACTTGTTTTTAACGGGCTGTAAGCCGCCCTGAGTCCGCAAGGAGAAGGGCGGGGTAGAAATCTAATAAAATCAAAATCAAAATCAAATTGCACCAGGTCCTTAAATATGGTGTCACAGGAGGTTTCTGCCTTCTTCCCTGGGCCTTCCCCCCCCTCGCTTGAGCTGTCCTGGCCCCGAAAGGCTGGCAGTTTCACTACCCACCACTTTCCCCCTGGAAATGGCTCTCAGTCCCAGATCATTGGGGGAAAGATGGGTGGGGGCCAAACCCTGCTTTTATTTCAGCTCCGGCTGTTAAGCTTCAAATTACCTAAATAGGTTTGTCAAAAATTGGTCATTTTCATGTTATGAATGTTTGCAGACTTTTTTCACAGTTCTACAATTATCCGGTTATCTTAATGTCTTCTGCTAAAAATTAGTTCTCCTGGTCCTCCTCTATGGCTATTCTAATTTTTCTCAATTATTCTTAAAATAGGATGCTCAGAAACGGTATGGTCAGGCTAATGCAGAATAAGTGCTCCCTTTGGTGTGGAAACTATATTTCTTATGATACCATTTGCTGATTCATATATCAAGCATATTATTACCAATCCCTTATCCCATATAGTACCAGCTATATACTACATAGTGTGGCTGTGTACCGTACAGTATCAACTTTGTTAATTCCTAAGACTCTTTTTTCTGCTATATATTCAAAATGGGCTGTGATTAACATACATATGTATATGTAATGGGTTTGTGTATGTATACATACATATACATATACATACACACACACACACACACACATATATATATATTGTATGTATGTGTATATATATACTCTGTGTGTGTGTGTGTGTGTGTGTGTGCGCGCGCGCGCATGTATGGTTATTTTCTTTTGAGAGCGGGTATCAGACTTTCATTTTTTAATGTGTGCCAGTGTGTTCACAGAAAAAAAGTGGCAATAATCTTATTGTCTTATCTTATCACATAGTGTACCGTAAAAGGCCAGATTTTTCATTTGTGTCCTAAACTGTATTCTGTACTTTGCAGCTCATTCTCTAATCTTTCAAACATCATTTTGAATTTGTTTTCCACATCATTTTGCATTATCTGCAAATTAGAACCACTCGATATTTCAGTCCAAACTGATGGGGGAATCATCAGGGAGGGATTTTTCAGCTCCGAGTAGTATTATGTGGAAGTGCCAACCTTTGTCATGATGCCATTGGCCAAGATTATTGAATGAAAGATGTCTGTAAGCAAAGGTGGAGAACCAGCTTCCTCTCTCTCTCTCTCTCTCTCTCTCTGTCTCCTGCCTATCCAGTTATCCATCTACCTAGGAAAGCGAGACTTTGTGGATCATGTGGAATCTGTGGAACCTGTTGGTATGTGATTTTCTTTAAATCCTGTTAGTGCTGATTGCATTCTACAGATTCTGCATCCTTTGGAATGGTGACACAGAGGGCCAGGCGGGTTCTGTAACAAGATAATCTGAATTTGTACAGCTACTTAATGCAGTTGTGTTAGTCTAGGGCAGGGGTGCTCGCAGGTTATCTTTACGCTTCCCTATACTTGACTGGTGGTCTTGAGGTTTATGCTTGGGATTAGGTCCTAAAGATTGGTCTCCTTCCCCTTCCCGGTTTGGTTTAAAGCCTTTCAGATTAGCTGATCCAGTTGTTTTCAGAGAGCATTCTTCTTGGTTTCCCTTCCAGATGCTCTTAATAGAGGTCATTTAGACCAGATGTCTCCAATCCTTCTGGCTCGGCAGATGGGTGGACACAGCAGCGGTGGAGTGGGGGTGGGTATGGCTTCGCATGTGTGCGCTCGCCGGTTTTACAAATTCAGCATTGCGTGCACACACGCTTGTCTGCCCACCACTTCCACGGCCAGGTTCCAAAAGAGCCCATGGCCTGCCAGTGGGCCTTGGATCGGGAGTTGAGGATCCCTGATTTAGACTGTGGTCTGGGTTCTCTCCGTGGCATCATCCTTTAAGTGTTTTATTTTAAAAGGTCTCTGATCTCTCATTGGATGTTTACCTTCTGTTGGAAGTACAGATGAAAACATCGCCTGTACTGCCATTTCTTTGGCTTTCATACCTAGCTGTTTGTAATCTCTTGTTATTGTTTTCAGGCTCTTTGTGGTGTTATTGATCCCCACATGAAAGAGGAGAAAGGGATGATCATCTGTGGGCTTAATTATTTTAGTAACTCTTAGTTGTATCTTTGATTTTTGCTCCTGGGAGAAGCATACCTTCCTTGATGAATTGTCCACTCCACAAATTCCATTCCTTTGCGTGGTGAGTCTCCTAGCACCAAGAAACATCTTTTTTTTTTTGAGGCAGAGGGGAACTTAGTCTACTTTTCTTCCTGTCACTGGTACAGTTGATGATGTCCCTTCTCCAGATGCCTGCACTTTATTCCAGGGGGAAGGAAATGAAATTAATCTCTTTGGTCCAGGGAAGCTGGCTGGACTAGATTGGATTCCTTAATTTTTTCCCCTTCTATGAGTGACATGTCTCCATCAGTCTGTGTCTAAGGGTTCTTCTTTTTTCTTTTGGTAGTTGTTCCTTAATGTGCTCAGTTCAATTCCAGTCTTCTTCCTTTAGACGGAGTTTCTCAATTTGTTGCTTGAATCTCAGAGTCTCAGCTAAACCTGCCTCTAGATGTGGCCCTAGATAGCTAGTAATATTCCTCCACAAGATATAATAAAAATGTAAAAAATAAAGGAAGTTTGTTATTTATATACATTAATTATATTATATATTTTATATGTAGCCCAAGACAATTCCTCTTCACTCAGTGCAGCCCAGGAAGGTCAAAAGGTTGGACCTTTTACGTTATTGTCTTTTTCTCTTTGATTTTTTTTTATCTATACCAGTAAATTCATCCCTGATAGACAACCCTATACCACCTTCTCTATTGTATTTGTTTCTCTCTGCTCCCATCAATCCCAATGTTCCCATGAGATTCTGGCATCCCGACTTGTTCATTTTTGCCTTTTGGCCTTATGATGTCTGCTCATCTTGCTTGTTCCCATACGCTGTGCATTCATATGGAGTCATTTAAGATCATAGATCGGAGTCTCTGCCTTCAGCCTCTCTTTTCCTCTAAGCCTGTATTTCCATTCTGTCTTTGTTGAACTCATACTGTGCAAAGCCCATGGCTTTGTTGCTGCATTCAATCCATTCTTTGCTATAACAACCATCTTAGCACTCCTTCCCCCTTGACCCCAACTTGAAGCCCTCCTAACCAGGCCACAGTGCTTTCAGATATAATTTTTCCCTCCTTGGTGAGGTTAACGGAGTGGAATTCATCATCCCCCCCTAAAGTTTGTAATCCAACATCTGTTGCTTGCAACCAGAACGGCACTTGTGTTGTCTTCCCTTTTTCGTGTTGGATTTCTGCTTTCAACAGGCGGAATAGATGACAAGACCACCTGGCCTCCAGGGACCCTCACCTTCCTTTGCAGAGCCATGAAACTGGTTGTGGGGTTTTATTGGGATGCCTGGAGAGAAGCTGGATAGCCTTCTGCACCATCTTCATGCTGGTTTTTTTTTTTGTTCTGTTTTTTAAACTGGGTTCTGTTATATTTTTATTTCCAGATGGAGTGGTTTTGCTGGACCCGGAAACCGTGAATAACAGGAAAGGTACTTTTCTTGTTTCTTTTTCTCTCTCTGCCCTCTTCAGAAACTTTATTTATTTATTTAGCAAATTTATAAGGCCATCCATCTCACTGGGCATGACTCTGGGCAGCATACAGCAAACGCTTCAAGCAGCAAACATAATAAAATACTTGATCAGCAAGATTGCAAGAGAATAACAGCCATCCAAGTACAATCTAGACGTCTCTCAGCTCCCCGTGGGATCCTCATGGTTGCTGGAGAAAACAGCTGTTCAAGGCTTTTCGAAAGGCTAACGGATGTGGCTAACCTCACCTCAGGGCAAATGATAATCCAAAGGGTGGGAGCCACCCCTGAAGAGGCACTTCTAGGTTCCATCAGATGGCAGTTAGCAGACGGGACCCACACCCTTCCTGCTGGATAGGTATATGGAATTGGGGAGAGGCGGTCCCTCAAATAGTCTGGTCCCAAGTCAGGCTAGAGGCCAAAGCCAGCACCTTAATTTGTACCTGGAAGCAGACTGGAAGCCAATGAAGCTCATGGAACAGAAGTATAAGGTGTCCTAAGGCAGGGGTCCTTAACCTTGGCAACTTGTGGACTTCAGCTCCCAGAATTCCTCAGCTAGTTTTGCTGGCTGAGGAATTCTGGGAGTTGAAGTCCACAAGTCTTAAAATTGCCAAGGTTGAGGACCCCTGTCCTAAGGGCACACGGAACTCGGCACTCGGACTGTAAGTGGAGCCTCATGGTCCAGGAAAGAGCATAACTGGCCCACAATGTGAAGCTGTACAAGCCACAACTGTCACCTGCTCCTCAAGCAGTTGTGAGTCCACAAGGACCTCCAGATTGTGTACCGGGTTTGTCTGTGTAATGGAATGTATGGATGACCTTGGGGGATGAGGGGAAGAGATGCTGCCTAGGAAACAATCAGACAAGAGAAGCAGGAGCCCCCAGTCACTTAATGGTCAGGGAAAGAACCTTAGGAAGGATCCGCCCCAAGGGATCAAGAGGGTTAAAATTATTGTGGGAAGTTGGTACCTTCATACCTGCAAGATTATGTTAATGTAGCCCTATAATAAAGTAGAATTAGCTTATGTGGTTGAGTTCCTGTCTGGTTTACTAGTCTGAGGGAGTTCCACCACATCCAATACCAAAGATATTTGGTATTTGCTACCAAAACCAGCAAAGATCCAGAAGGCCCCAAAACCAAGAATCCATTTTCAATTGAAGCCTCTTTCTCATCGAGAGCCCCCCCCCAAATCCAGACCAGACCTAGTTCTCGCAAGGCAGAGATATATAATTGAATACCATCAGCATAGTGATGATACTTTACCCCATGGCAATGAATAATCCCACCCAGTGTCTTCATGTAGATGTTAAATTTGTGATCCATTGTCTTCTGGGAGTCCCAATCTTCCAAACATGACAGTTTATGAAAAAAAAATCCCTATTTTCTGATTTTTACTAAATATAACTGTTATGGTTCCGACTAATGAAACACTTCAAAGAACATCCAGGCATTTTATCCTAAAAAAGTCTATGTGACAAAATGTCGGCACAGGCATGATGAAAGGCAATGCTAAGCTCTGAAATCCCCACCCACCGAGCAGTTATTTTTGCTAGCATTTCCACTCCCTATTTTGCTGTCATAATTTACGTTCTCCAATTAGTGTGAAGGGCAAAGGTTCCCTTCCTTTCCCTTTTGCGGGCTTTCCCCCTTCCCTCATTCTCCTCTGCATTAACTCTAAAAATACCAGACAGTTCTGCATATTTTGTCAAAGCAAGAATATTCAATATTAGCAGCGTTGACAATAGCATTCCTGGTCTCCACAATGAAATTAACTTACTACCTTAATTAGGAAACTTTTTATTCTGAACTAAGGGTAATTGTGGTTCCCCCTCCTTCATCTCTCCACCTAAATGCTTACAAGCACTCTCTTGTATTTTGTATTTTTCTTTGCTCTTTTTTTGTGTCCTTCATCTTCTGACGGTCCAGTCTATGTGACCCTCACATGTGCGTTCCGGTACGGTCGAGATGACCTGGATGTCATTGGGTTGACCTTCAGGAAGGATCTCTATCTCCTCACAACTCAGCTTTACCCACCAGTGCCGGACCAGGTTCCGAAGACCCTCACACCCTTACAGGACAAGTTGATCAAGAAGTTGGGAGAACATGCTTACCCTTTCACCTTTGAGGTATCTGGTGATTTGTGAGGCTTCCCTTCCCCCTTCCCCCTTCCTTCCCACAGCCACAGCTGCTGCATGTATGGGCTGCCCAACGGCTATGGGTGGCATCAGAAACTTCTAAGATGTGTCTGTGGACTACCCCATCCACTCAAATTCTTCCTATGTAAAGCAAAAGATTGAGGTTGTTACTGTTTTTTGTATTCTACTGGATGGAAAAAAGTCAGAAGTCACTATATTTTTCTTCCTTCTTCAGTTCTTTCTACACTTCTCTTCTGTCTAACTTTTTAGGAGTTAGTTTTTAGGAGTTAAGGTTGGTAAAATGAGGAACCAGACTGTTGAGGGGCAATATGATGACTCTATAAACCACTTAGAGACGGCTGTAAAGCACTATGAAGTGGTATATAAGTCTAAGTGTTATTGCTATTGCTGTTTTTCAATTTTTATATCTATTTGTATTTTATCTTACAGTGACTTTTAATTTAAAAGATGAAAACATCCTCAAATGCCTCTCACATTCTTTTATTCCCCTCACCCCAACCATGACTGTGTTGCCTTGGGGATTACTATTCTCTCTCCCCCCCCCCCCCAATCGCTCAGGGACCTTGCTGAAGATGTGGTACTTCTTGGTCTTTTAGCAAGGGAGAAGTTTTAGCCCTGGAACTCTCTTCTGGATGATTAGTGCATTTTGTTTTTTGTTCCCATAGATGGCGACCAACCTGCCCTGTTCAATCACACTGCAGCCGGGACCAGATGATGCTGGAAAGGTGGGTGGCAGCTTCGTGTCTGGATTTCACTCTTCTCCCCCATAGGGTGGGTCACCAAGCCGAGTGCCAGCCTAGGGACTCTTAGGCCCCCCCCTCAGTCTTGGAAGCCCCAAGGCTTCGGTTTCTCAGGCTGACTCACTCCCCAGCTGTAGCCCCAGGCCCATCCTCCCAGCCCAACCAGTTTCCCTGGGAGCTGCCTATCTGCTTGCCTGGTGCCTTGGCTGGATCCTTAGCTCTGCTTCCGGTTTGCCCCAGTTGTCTCAAACTATCATTTTTTAAAAAGGTTTCTCAGATGATTAGTTCTTTTCCATCTTTTGCTGTATCTCCTTTGTCTTTCTTGCATGAGTTGCAGTGTCTCTGGAGCAACCACTGCTAAGTACAAAAGGAATAAAGAAGCAGCGGAGAAAGTGGCACCGCTCTCAGGACCCCATCGCTGGTTCTGGGTAGCAAATAAGAATCTGATCTCTTCTCTAAGTGTTGTCAATGCTGCTAACATTGGATGTTCTTGCTTTGACAACAGATGGAAATGCAGTCATTTTCCTCTATTGCTTTTAGAGTTAGTTGATGCTGGGTGGAGGAATGGGGATGAGAGTCCAGCTAGTCATAACAATAATAACTCAGCCATGGGAACCCAAGGTCATTGGGCCCAGAGTTGATAAGAGTTTTGGTGGCAGGGCTTCAAGCTAATTGAGGAATGTGATTTATGACTGTTTATTGGAGGAGGGAATTGTGCTTTACTACTTTGTGCCCAGGGGAAGGGAATTCAGTTTTTTGTTTCAACTAAGTAGTGCTGATACTTTGTTTCTCAAATAAAAAATTCTTTAAAGTAAACAACGCCTCGAAGTTCTTTTGAAGAGATTCATCTGTCGGAAGCATGGCAAGTGTATTTTATCTGTGGCTGCTTAGAATCATAGAGGGCTCGTCTTGGAAGGAACTGACCCTCTAGTCCAACGCCTGTCTAATGCAAGAATGCCATAAAGGTGCTTTTTTCAAGAAACAACTGGACTTTGTTTTTCTTCTAATACCTTTCACTTCTCATCCAAGAAGCTTCTTGTGAGAACTGAAGAAGCTTCTTGGATGAGAACCGAAAGGTCTTCAAGGAAAAACAAACTCTGGTCACTTTTTGTAAAAACACCTTTGGAACAACCATGACCTGGATGATTGAGACTCTCTATAGATGTCATGCAAGAATCCATCCTGGGGATTAGTCCATCGGCCACTGCTTCTCATCTTCCTGTGGCCCATTTTATACTATGGCAGTTGCAACCTAGAATAAAGGCTCCATAACATGGGGGACTTTTAAGGGGCTAAAATTCCTCTTTTAGATTTTTCTTATTGATAATTGTAAATAAAGGCATAATTTGCCTCCAGTCAACTTGTAACTTCTGCTCTTTGTGTCTCCCCTAGTCCTGCGGTGTGGACTTTGAGGTGAAAGCATTTTGTGCTCAAGACGTGGAAGAGAAAATTCATAAGAAGTAAGGCCAACATATTTTAATATTTATTGAGGTTAAAGAACAGTTATTTTGTTTTTCAACTGAAAGTAAATCCCCATCATTCATTTATTTCTAAAGTAAACATTTTTATAGGATGTAAGAAGATAGAAGCGACAGGGCCCTGGAGAAGTTCGAGGGAGCCCTTGGCAGGGGTCCCCCAACACCCTAAGTCCTCCTTCTCTCGACTTCCTTCTTGCCCTCACTCTCATTATTCTTCACCCTCAGCTGTATTAAATCTTCAGAAGAGAGGAAATAGCCTTTTTATTTCTGCTTCTTATATTTTACGGTTCTTATATTTTAGTATGAAACTTCACTGAAAACTGTATCCTCTTAACTTCCATCGAAAGCTCAGTCAGACCCTCCAGGTGAAGAACCTTCCAGAATTGCAAAAAGTTCAGCACAAAGGCACCGGGGCTCCCCAGGCAGTGCTTTCCGACACCACTAAGAGGAGATGGCAGGGAGGTGACGGGCAGCAGGGAGAGAGCAGAACTCTTAATTTTTTCTTTGCATCTGTCTTCATGCAAAAGGAAAAAACAGTGAAAGCTGTCAAAAGCAGCACAGTGTGGGACAGAATAGGAATGCAGGTCAAAATAGGTAAGGAATTGATCTGCTTTGGATAAGTTCAAATCTTCTTCGGATGAGTTCAAATCTCCAGGATTAGATGTACTGAAGAGCTTGCAGATGTGATCTCAGAACCACAGAACAAAATCTTTCAGGGCTCCTGGAGCACCGGGGAACTGCCAGAGGACCGACCGGAAAAAAGCTGATGTGATTTCAATCTTCAAAAAAGGGGCAACAAAAGAGGATCTAGGAAATTACAGAGCAGTCAGCCTGACATCAATACCTGGGAAGACCCTGGAAAAGATAATCAAATAGTAGATTTGTGAACACCTAGAAATGAACAAGGTGTAGAATAGAATAGAATAGAATAGAATAGAATAGAATAGAATAGAATAGAATAGAATAGAATAGAATAGAATATAGAACAGAGCAGAGCAGAGCAGAACAGAACAGAGCTGGAAGGGACCCTTCTAGTCCAGCCCCCTGCTCAAGCAGGAGACCCTATGCCATTTCAGACATGTGGCTGTTCAGACAAGTTGCTATTTACACAGCTTTGTTAACCGGTCATGCTGAACAAACTTTATTACCTTTGATAAAATGACTAAATTAGTATCCATAATTCCTGGAGTTGTGGGTGCTCCATTGCTGGAGGCTTTCAAGAAAAGATTGGACAGCCATTTGTCCAAGATGGTATAAGGACTTCTGCTTTGGGCGGGGCCTTGGAATAGAATCATTCAAGCATAGGGCTGGAAGGGACCTTGGAGGTCTTCTAATCCAGCTTACGTGAGAAGGTATCTTGAAGCTTCTTCTGGGACATAAAAATCAAAGTAAGAGAAAAATTGTGCCCTGATTTGCCAGGATATGGATTTTGCACAACTTTTATGGGCTGTATGGTCTTCTATAAGGTGTCTCCATTTTTACCACCAACTTTTTATTGAAAATATCATAGTTCATTTTTGCTGGAAGGGGAGCACTCTGGAGTAAAAGGCGCGTGGTAATAAATATGCCCTCCCCTCCTTCTCTTCCTGGAGTAGAGCTGCTCCTGCCACCCCATCTGAGGCGTCAGTTTGCACCACAAAGGGGTGGGAGGGATCAGGGTGGCAGAGGAGGGGTGATGTCAGGGTCAAGCCCAAAGATGACAGAGTGAAATCCAACCGAGTTCACTCCTTTGTTTGCTTACATCTGATGGACGGAATCTTGCCAAACTAGAACTCGCTACCTTACTCGATCTATCCTCAGAGGGTTGTGGCTACCGGAACCTTTTCCCCTCTCCCTCCTCCAGCTCGGGACTGTGCAGTCTCTTAACGTGGGCGTCTCTTGGGTGGCATATGCCAGCTCTTCCCTGGGAAAGCTCTGGGCTGCCCCTGCACTGCCTCTCCAAGTGCATATTCCATCACAGGTTGAGAAGCAAAGAGCTGTTTTAACTCTCGAAATGCCATTTGCTTTTGAGTTGACCAGGAAAATCACCAGCTGTTTCTTAGGAGCTGGGACAAGGTCAGCAAAATAGGGGATGAATTTCCTGTAGAAGTTGGCAAAGCTCAGAAATCTCATCTTTCACACTGTGTGCATGTGGAGGTTTTGTGGCCCAAATAGTCCAATTGAGACAGGTCAACTGGACACTTTTCTAGTCTGGCAAGAGCTTTTAGTCCTGTAATTTTCACAATAGATTTCTGACATGGGTGACACACAGAGAGATTATTCAGAATAAAAAATAATGGTTATTTGTTAGCCAGACTAGCAGATTTGAGATAAGTGGGAGAGGATGATGGTCTCTAATTGTCACTCTGTTCAGGTCTTTGTAGTCATGAATGGCGTGCATGTGGGCTCTCTTCAGAGTGATCGTTGTTTGTCCTTGTTTTTGAGGACGAAAAACATGGGTGCTGATGCTGGTGAGTTTGTAGGGCAAATGAATGCTTTTTGGATGCTGACATCCAGATACTCCTTGAGGATGGCTGACTAGTGGCTAGACATGGGATGCCGTCTCTTTGCTGGGTTTTGGGCTCCTGACTTCAAGTTGATGTTGCAATCAGATACCTGGGTGTGTGTGTGTTATGGCCTCCTCTTTCTTCCCAAAACATCTGTGTATTTTTCAGGCCTCATGAACCTTCCACACCTGAAAGTACCCCTCCCTTCCTTCAGTTTTATTCTCCCAAAAGCTAGGGAGGATCCCTTTTGAGATGCTTTTGCAACCCCTCCTGCTTTGGACTCAAATTTCATTTGTCTAAACTGTGTCTCTTCCTCCTGTCTCCAAAAATCAATTCCCCTTCACTCTCCAGTTCCCGTCTATGGCTACTTTCTCCTTATTCCCTAGGTTGAAACATTTCTTGTAAGTGGGGTAAAAGGTGAAAGACAAAGGCTACATGAAGCATTTCCAGCCCCTCTTTAGAGTCCCCCCCCCAGGCGGGGAGGGAGGGAGGGAGAGAAAGAGAGAAAAAACGTCATGTTTCTGATGGGTTCAACAGGCTCTGATGCTCTCTGCCCTTGTCCAGGTTGGCAGGAATAACTTCGACTGATTTTTTTTCCTATCTCAGCCTTTGGGGGATAGGATTGCCCCCTCACAAATTTTCTATCGTAGTTCAAAAACCCGGCAAAACTCAAAGAATAATTCATAAGCTTTCCCTCTCCTGCCTCTCGCTGTGGCTCCGGCGTGCTCATCCCTCGTTTCCTCTGCTTCCAGGAACTCGGTGCGGCTGGTGATCCGGAAGGTGCAGTTTGCCCCCTCCCTCACGGGCCTCGCACCCAAAATTCAAATAAACAGGCAGTTCATGATGTCAGACAAGCCCCTGCACCTCGAGGCATCTATGGATAAGGAGGTCAGTGTCCCTGCGGTCTCTTCTCAGCTGGACCTTGGTGTTGTGCTAATCGTCTCTGTCCTGGCCCCGTCTGTCTGCTTTTGGGCAGGCTCAGCTTCTCTCCTTGAAGCTCTGTTTGGTAATCCCAAACCGAGGTGGGATTGTGGGAACTCTGGCTCCTGGTTCATTGAAACTGCAGGACCTTCCAGAGGATATGCACTTTTCACAGATGCTACTTTGTCATCGACTTTTTCTGATTTTACCATGTTTATTGTCTTCCTAAGACTGAATTTCTTCTAATCGTAGACTGATAGGTTTGCAACGTAGCATCAAAAGATTAGAAGGGAAAAAAGAAAGATGGCAGAGGAGTTTGCTAAGTGGTGCTTCTCTCCAGGAGAACAGGATGCTTATTTTCTATCTGATTTTAGTACCATATTGTGATTTCAGATTTATTACCATGGGGACCCAATTGGAATTAATGTGGACATAAACAATACCACCAGCAAGATTGTAAAGAAAATTAAAATAACAGGTAAGGGACAAATTAAACAAGCCATGGAAGCAGCCCATTCATGGTGGAATCAGCTATTGCCTTATGGGGTCCTCCGTCCATCTTCTTCTTTTAACCTTTTGCATCACCCAGTAATACTTACCCAGGATTCTCGTCTGCTGCACCCAGCCTTGGGATCAGATCCACACAACCCCAGCATCTCACTGGGTGAGCATGAAAGGTCAGCCTGAGTGAGAACTACTGAGTCCGATCTGGGCTGGAGGTTTTTAAGAAGAGATTGGACAGCCATTTGTCCAGAATAGTATAGAGTCTTCTGCCTGAGGAGGAGGTTAGACTAGAAGACCTCCAAGGTCCCTTCCAAATCTGTTATTCTGAAACATTAAACTATTAGGGACATAGTTCACCTGAATGGTTTGGACAACTTGTAATATCTGCGTAAAATCCCCCACTCCCTACAATCTCAGAGGACTACCACTGTGCTACTGTGTCTCCCTCTTTCTCTCCAGTCGAACAGCTGACCGACGTGGTTCTCTTTTCCCTGGATAACTATACCAAGACAGTCTGCTCAGAGGAGTTTGTGTAAGTGGCAGGTCTTTGGCTGGTGGGAGTCGAGGAGAAGAGAGGGGGGGTAGTTCTAACCCTAACCCTAGCCCTAACCCTTTGCTTTGTCCCAAAACGTGTTACAGTATACGTGTTTTATTCATGTTTGAAAACGAGAGCTTGGATTTTCAGACATTTTTGAAAATGGAATCTTTATACTTGCATGGAGATCTGAAAGCCCTTGACGAGGGAAAAGGTCACCCCCGAATTGAAGCGGGGAATGCATTTCCCCCCCCCCTGAAAAAAATGGAGGAAATGGCTGTTTAAGCGATCTGGTTGGTTCAGAAGCTAAAGAACGGGATTATGAAATTGCTCGCTTTGGATGAATTTGGGATAATTCCAGTGAATTCAGGAAAGGAGGGAGCAGAAGTCCCATGAAATTGTCTGCCTTGATGCCTCTGAGGGAGCCTGTCCCCCTTGCCTTGCCCAGCCCATAAGCACCCAGTAAAGCTGCTCCTTTGCATGCACAAGGGGCCCGCAGAACGGGAGTTGCAGTCCTTCCTGGATTAAAGTCTGTTTCTCTTCTGGGGAAAAATTATTTTCTCCATCAGTTCCAAGCTGGAGTTTTGACAGTCATCAGCTGAACCCACCAGCTTCCCATTCATAGACCTTGTCTTTCCTTTCCTATAGGGAGAACGTGGCTGCAAACTCCACTTTCTCCAAAACATTTGAGGTGACTCCCCTGTTGAGCAAGAATCGCGAGAAGCGTGGCTTGGCTCTGGATGGCAAACTCAAGCACGGGGACACCAACCTGGCTTCCACCACCATGTAAGAGGAAGCACTTTTCTCTTTCTTTCTTTCTTTCTTTCTTTCTTTCTTTCTTTCTTTCTTTCTTTCTTTCTTTCTTTCTTTCTTTTCTCTTTTTTTCTTTCTTTTCTCTTTTTTTCTCTTCCTTCCTTCCTTCCTTCCTTCCTTTCTTTCTTTTTCTCTCTCTCTCTCTCTTCTTTCTCTTTCTTTCTTTCTTTCTTTCTTTCTTTCTTTCTTTCTTTCTCTCTCTCTCTCTCTCTCTCTCTTTCTCTCTCTCTCTTTCTCTCTCTTTCTCTCTCTCTCTCTCTCTCTCTCTCTCTCTCTCTCTCTCTCTCTCTCTCTTTCTTTCTTTCTTTCTTTCTTTCTTTCTTTCTTTCTTTGACGGCACAGGGTGCCCCATGGGATGGAAGGTAGCTTCACTTCTTGTCTCGCTGCTCTTGCTCATCAGCTCTTCCAACGTCTCCCCTTCTTTCTTCTTAGTCTGAGGCCTGGGATGGACAAAGAGGTTCTGGGCATCCTGGTTTCCTACAAAGTGAAAGTCATGTTGGTGGTATCGAGAGGAGGGTGAGTCTTTTTTCTACAAGAACAGCATGAAAAAGCCCCCTTTGGATTCTGCCCCAATGCCTCTTTCTCCCTCTGTCCCCCCCCTTTTCCTGGGGGAACTCAGCCCCAGTTGGCATGGAGACCTGCCCAGCCATTGCCGGGTGCCGGTGGTGGAGCTTCCATGGCTAAGAGCGGATCTGAGTTGTAGTCTTCCCAGAGTGCCAGTCCAGAGCTGGGGCCCACGGCTGGGCCTTGGTTGCCCTGCTCCCCACGTGTCCCTGCCTCATATGTTGATTCTGTTTCATTTGCACACGTCTGGGTGGCCTTTGGTTTGAAAGGGCATGACAGTTGTTCTATGGCTGCCAGCAGAGGGGCTCCCACCCAGCCCAGCCCACCTCACCGAGTTGTTGTTGTGGGGGGGAAAAAGAGAAGGGAGGAGTATTAGGGATGTTCACCGCTTTGAGTTGTTTATAAGAATAATACAGGCATTAAACAAACAAACAAACAAAATATCTCCCCTTTCATATATGTGAAGTGATCTTTGTGTTTTCCTCATTGACCATCTCTTCTTTCCACAGCATCCTGGGAGACCTCACCTCAAGGTAAGTACTGATTTATTGATTAAACTGAATAAACCAGTTCACTCCCGATTGTTTTGAAAGACGCCTGGCTGAAGCTTTAAGGGCCGTGCTCTGAGGGAGGCCATCACGCTGCGATACCTTTGAGTTGCGTTATTGGGGTGCCAGTAGGTTGCCTTTCAGGGTGGTCCCTCAATTAGAGATCCCGCTTGCACAGAAGAGCGTGAACGATTTGGGCTGTGATTCCTGGTCAGAATGTGCCAAGATGTGCCCTTCCTGTCCTTCCTGTTAGCAGGGAACACCGCCCGTGGCATCTATGCGGTTAAGGCTGGTGACCTGGTTTAGAGTTGGCTCTTATTAAAAGGCACAACGTGAAAGCCTTGGTTGCCCAGGATGGCTGGCAGAGTTCGGTCTCTGTGGGCCCATCTGCAACCACAGCCTGGGCAAAATGGCAGCTTAGAATAAGAGGAGTAAATGCACAGAGTATAAGGAAGCCAAGAACATGACACATGTTGCGTCTGTGAGACCAAGAGAAAGTGAAAGGCTCAAAAAATATTAGAAGGAAAGTGGTTTAATTTTGTGGCGTGGACTTGATGAATACATGAATACAAAACTGTTAGGGTCATTTGGGTTGCTTGGATGTGTGTGGAAGGAGGCACAGCAGAGCTTTGCGACTGCCTGTTGGGGGTAGCAGGTTGGTGGCCCGTGGAGCTGTGCATGAGTCCACGGCCACCCCAGCGTGGGTGTGCTGCAATGCTTGGTACTCGCCTTGTCAAACTTACACGGAAGCCGATGGGTGAAGTGATCTGGCAGTTTGGGCCTAAATTAGGGGTCACCACTATATTGAGGGCATCCAAATTTTTATCCTCACTCCAGGCTGACTCAGAGATGCTGTGACGATCTGAACCAGTGTCTGGAGATGTAATGGAATGTGGGAATGACCTTGGGGGGACAGAGGGGAAGAAATGCTGTGTAAGGAACCATCAGACAAGAGAGGCCGGAGCCCCGAATGGATTAATGGTCAGAAGAAGAAACTTAGGAAGAATTTGCCCGAATTGATCAGGGGGTTAGTGGGAAGTTTGAGCCTTCAGACTTGCCAGGTTCTGTTAAGGTTGCCTTACAATAAAGTAGAATTAGCTCATCTAGTCCTGTTCCCTGCCTGGTTTATCCAGGAGGGCTGACAGGGTCTAGATGGGTTAAAAAAAAAGGCTCAGATTAAATATTTTGAAGGTTAACTTGCCCTTTGTTAATAAATACTGAGGTGATCTGGAAACAAAGGCCCAGCTGTGACTTTGCCTGTGGTTGCACTATCCCTGCAGGGAGTGGTCTGCAGCTTCTGGACTCATCACTCCTGCTTCAAGAGCAGGTAGAAGCTGCCACTGGGAGTCCTTTGCCCAGCTCTAGCTATGCCAGTTACAGCTCCCCCCCAATACCAGGGACACCCCTTGGTTGGATGATGGCAATGTGCCGTGTCTAGGCAGCCTGAGACATCTGAAGAAGGCCTGCTGACCATCTCTTCTCATCCAGGTTTCATTGGCGTGCAGGAAGCTCCTTCCTTCCTCCCTCCCTCCCTTCTTCCTTCTTTCTTTCTTTCTTTCTTTCTTTCTTTCTTTCTTTCTTTCTCTTTCTTTCTTCCAATTTTCCTTCTCCTTATTTTTCTTCCTCCCTCCCTCCCTCTTCCAGTTCCTCCCTTCCTCCCTCCCATCTTCCTTCCTTCTTTCTTTCTTTCTTTCTTTCTTTCTTTCTTTCTTTCTTTCTTTCTTTCTTTCTTTCTTTCTTTCTTTCTTTCTCTCTTTCTTTCTTTCTCTCTCTCTCTCTCTCTCTCTCTCTCTCTCTCTTTCTCTCTTTCTCTCTTTTTTCTATCTCTTTTCTTTCTTTCTTTTTTCTTTCTTTCTTTCTCTTTCTTTTTTCTATCTCTTCTTTTTTTCTTTTTCTCTCTCTCTCTTTTCTTTCTTTCTCTCTTTTATCTATCTCTCTTCTTTCTTTCTTTCTTTCTTTCTTTCTTTCTTTCTTTCTTTCTTTCTTTCTTTCTTTCTTTCTTTCTTTCTTTCTTCTCCCTATGTCGGCACAGGGTGCCCCATGGGATGGAAGGCAGCTTCACTTCTTGTCATCAGAACTGCAGAAGCCTTCTTTTCTCAACCTTCCTTCAGCCCCAGCTGATTGGTCAATGGGCTTTCCTCCAAGCATGTGTATTTCTGTTGTATATTTCATTTATTTTTAAAAAACGGTATTATTGGGTTTCTTTTTATTCTGTTGCTTAGGGCCCAAGGTCATAAGATTGACCAGTTAGCAAATATTTAAACAAATACATATGTAAAAACTTAAATGAATCTTGCATTAAAAAAAAATCTGTGCCTCCTTTGGGCAATTTGATGTGGTTTCTTTTTCAGTGACGTCTCTGTTGAGATGCCGGTTATTCTGATGCACCCTAAGCCTCCCGAAAGTGAGTATTGCCCAGACAACACCCTGCCTCGCTGTCTCAAGACATGACGGCCTTGGGAAAATGCCAGACTGTGGGAAACGTTCCAGTTCCCAAAACTGGAACCAGCCACAGGGCCCTCGTTCAGTGCTGGGAGAAATCCAGGGGCCCCTAATGGAGGGGAGGGCCCCACCTCCCCCGAGGGCCCAAAGCAGGCAGCAAATGTCTGCCTGTGGGGGAGATTTCATGCTGCTCTCAGAGAGGGACACGGGAGCAGGGCTGCTTGTAGAGATGTGCTTTTCCCATTCGTAAAACCACTAAAAAGCCTGAAGAACAGACTGGGAAACATTGGCCTCCCCCTGAAGTGACCCCCTCGGCCTGGCCTTGTGGGGATCGGCTAGCAGGACCTGTCAGCAACTCCGGCTCATGCGTCCTTCAAACTCTCTGATCCACTGGATCCAAAGGATCGCTATAGATTACTGCCTCTCCCTTTTCCACATCTCTGTTAAAACACATCTAGATATTCAGCCTTTTAAATACACAGCAGATTTTACAGGAAAAAAAATCAGTATTTTGGGTGGTGAAAAAATAAATCAAAACCCACTTTCAAGACTTTGCCATCTTTTCAAAAGGGCAGGAAGGGGCTCCCGAAGCCGACCTGGGGGATCGGAAGAGACCCCCGGTGAACCCCAGCCGGGGGGGTGGGTTGCAGCAGCCAGGAGGCCGACGGGAAGGAGCAACAGGCAGCTTCCTTCAGTTAGCAGCAATGACTTCTCCTCGTCTCCCCCCCCTCCGGTTCCCCCCCCTCTCCTTTGTGGGAAGACTATCGGAATCCCAAGTCAGCTGATGGCTGGATTCCTCTCCTCGTGATTTAAATGCCTTTTTCATTTTATGAAAATTCGGGGAGTTGAAGTCTACCTGTCTGAAAGTTGCCCAGATTGAGAAGCCCTGGTCCAAAGCAGTGATCCTCAACCTAAGCAACTTTTTTTACATTTATGAAAATGAAAAAAAAAATCCAAAATGGAATTCTTTCCCCAAGCCTGGCCTTCCAACCGCTGGGCCCTTCCTGATCCAACGCATGGCCCCCTCTCAACCTACTCTCCCCCTGGCGGATTCTGATCCTTTTGGCGCAGTGGGGGGGGGGAACCTGACAATATATTTAAATGACACCATTGATGCTCCAGAATGGAATGGTTCTGACCACCAGCACCCAGAGATAAACAATACCTGTCCATCAACCAACCCCCCAACAAACAAACACACACACACACACACATCAATAACAAGAGAGTGCATCTAACCACCTGAGCCCAATGCTGGGGAAGCACCAGACCTTCCAGGCCTTGCAAAAGGCTAAATTCCTTGAATAATCTCCTTTTTCTTTCCCGACAAGAACCGTTTTGTGAGGGGCAAATGAAACCCCATCAGTTGGAGGGCGGCACCAGGCTGAAGGTTGACTGTAGACCTTGGAGAGGGATGGTTTGGGTTTTCAGTATCTGCAACCTGCAGGCCCCCATCGGCCCCCTGAATGCCCCAACTGTCCAGAGTTTCAAAAAAGGCCTGAGAAGTTGGACCTGTGTGTGTGTATGCTTGTGTCTCTCTCTGCCTGTGTTGCACATGGCCAGCTAATAGATACAGGTGGGCAGGCAGTTTTTCTTGGATAACGTTGTCGTGATGAATGTGACTAAATGGTGCATGCATTTCTCTTTCATCCTCTGCCTCTTCCTGATTGACAGCAATATCCAGGTAAGGAAAGAGGGCTCCACACTAGAATTGGCAGCATGTCATTGTGGATATTTCACTCTCCAAAATAAATTTAGCTCTGACAAAAACTGGCTGTTGTTAAGGATTGGTGATTCTTCTGACTACCACAAAAACATAGTTTTAGGCAATTTTACCGAACTTCAACTTCCATGAAAAATTAATTAATTAATTGGAAAGCTTATGATATTCTCGTGTTTCATTGTAGAAGGAAAATGCGATCATCTCATTGTACATTTTTATCAGCTAGTCTTTAGACCAGAGTTTCTCAACCCAGGCAACTTGAAGATGGGTGAACATGGAATTCCCAGAATTCTCCATTGCTGACTGGGGGATTCTGGAAGTTGAAGTCCACCCATCTTCAAGTTGCTAAGGTTGAAAACCTCTGCTTTAGGCCAGTGTTTCTCCACATTGGCAATTTCCAGACAGGAGAGTATTGTAAGCTTTCCAGTGGAGAAAGACTGCTTTAGACAAACCCGTTCCCCTAAATTGTATTTATATAGTCTTACATTTTGAATGAGTATCTGAAATTGCTGAGTTTTGAACCAGTGTCCATAGCGATTTCCTCTCCCATCCCCTGGGGTGGTCCCAGATCTCCTCCTGCCTGCCTTGTTATGTTCAGCCCCACTCCCACCCCCCACTCACCTGAGAGAACAAACATCCACTGGCAGAGCCCCAAGGAGGCCTCAGACCAACGAACCGAGATAGGGGCCTTTCAGCCCCACCTCCTTCCCGCCTGCTCAATTCTCGGTGTTTGCTTTGGGGCTGGATCTCTGGGCTGAGCAACAGGGTGTGCATGTTTGCGCATGGAACGGTGGAAAGTACGATTCACTCCTGTCCTGGAAAAAGTTCCCTGGGCAGAAGAGTTTAGGAGGGAATAAAGACTTGAATGCAAGATCAGAGACTGATTCTACCATATCTTGGACTCTCATTTTGAAATATTTTTCACCGATTTTCAGTGATGACATTATGGTTGAAGAATTTGCCCGCCAGAAACTTGGAGGAGAAGGGGAAAGTGAGGACGAGCAGGAGGAAGGAGGAGAAAAAAGCTAATGCTCAACTATCTTCAGCAGGGGCTACTCAAAGAGTTTCAAAGCCGAGACCATTTAGGGCGTTTTCATGAGTTCCGTGCATTTACCTTAATATTTCAGTGTCGTATTTGTAACGTGATAATTTCTCGTAAGCTTATTTTTTTCTCTGTCTTTAATGCATTTTGCAAAAGATTCCCAGTACTGTGAAGTATTTTCCCCAAGCATGAAAGCGAAGGGAATGCCAGCCATGCTCCAAGACGGCTCCTCCACCTCTTCATTTTGCCTGCTTTCTTTTCCCCAAGCCCAGCCTTCCGACCGCTGGGCCCTTCCTGGTCCAATGTGCCCCCCCTCAATCGCCTCTTCCCCAGCGGATTCTGATCGTTTTAGTACAATGGGAGCTGACCTGAAAACCCTTTCCTAAGAATTATTGGCATTATGGGAAAAAGCTGATTATCCAGATACCCTGTGATTGTGTGAATAAATGTTATTCTATCAAAATACTTTGCTGGACATGTATTTATGTTTATGTTTACTGAAGATTGACCCACTACCTCTGCTGGAGGTTGCTTCCAAACTTCCGCCACTCTTTCTGTGATATCATACATTACTTTTGAATTTCCCTCCTGTCAGTTTGAGGTAATGCCCCTGTGTTCTTCATTTTTGCGTAATATTAAAAAGATAGTTTCTAGAACCTTATTCACACCCTTCATATATTTAAAGGTTTCAATCATGTCCCCCTTTTCCCTTCTGTCCTCCAGGCTGCACACGTTCAATTTCTCCTATCTCTCCTAATATGTTTTGTTCCTCAGACGTTGCACCGTTTTTCTTGCCCGTCTCTAGACTCGCTCAGTCTTATCAATACCTTTTAAATTGTTTTTTTTAAAAAAATAAGAACCCTCTTACGGTTACCGCTGTTGAGCCAGGTTACCACCCATTCTGTACCTAGGCATTTGGTTTTTCTTGCATGAGTGTAAAACCTTACTTTTCTCACTGCTGAATTGCATTTTGTTGGATATGGCCCAGGGTTTGAGTCTATCAAGGTCCTTCTGGACCTTGAATCTATCTTGTAAAGTGTTGGTTATTCCCGCCAGCTTGGTGTTGTCTGCAGATTTGATGAGTTCCCCTCATTTATTCCTTTATCTGGATCATTTATGAAAAAAAAAAACCCTTAGAGAGAGATTGATGGAGACATGTCACTCAAGGACAAAAAACAAAAAACAAAAAACCAAGCCAGACCAGGCCAGCTGCCCCACTGGACCTAAGCAATCCCAAACTCTGGATGCTCCATCACTAGAGGTTTTTTAATAAGAGATTGGACAGTCATTTGTCTGGAATGGTCTAGGGTCTCCTACTTGAGCAGGGGGTTGGACCAGAAGACCTCGAAGGCTCTTTCCAACTCTTATTCTGTATTATATTCTGTATTCTGACCTGATTTTCCAGCAGATCCTTCAGGATTAGGAGTGAAAATGAGATGAGCAAATGCAATGCAACCCAAGCCCCATGCCTCTGTCCATGCACAAAGGGCTGGGCTTCAGCTCTGCATCTGGGCGACCAGAAAGTCTCCTGAACAGAGGAAGTAAGAAACTGTTTCGGATGTCTCTGTAAAGGGATTGGAAAAAAACAAACACCTCAGAATATTTCTAAAATACATTTTTAAAGGAGATGAAAAATATTTGCAAAAATGTTTCCAAAGTATGAACATAACAAGTTTGTTGCTTAGATAAAAATCAGAAGTTGTGAGCGCTTCATCACTGGAGGCTTTCAAGAGGAGACTGGACTGGTCTGAAATGGTACAGGGTCTCCAGCTTGAGCAGGGGGTTGGACTACAAGACCTCCAAAGTCCCTTCCAGCTCTATTCTGATTGAAAAAGAAATTACAGTGCTCTCAGCCAGGGGAAAATTGAAAAGTCCAAGAGACCACCAGTGGGCTTACTAGAATTAAAAAAAAAAAATCTTTGGTAAAGAGCCTCAGAAAGGGATTCCAGAGAGACTTCCCAATCACAGAACATTTATTTTCATTCATAGGGTGGGCATAAAACAGCTCAAGTAAAAGTTCATTTATAGAAAGATAAATGGCAGGGCTTACATAGTAGAAAGAATTGCAGTACCAAAGTTCCAATGCATCTTTCTTCCTAGACTTATTTTCACCAGACCAATTCCTTGGACTTCTGGCTGCCCCTCATTCCCTCAACTCAACCCTTCCTTCTCCATTCTCCACTTGCCCAGAATTTTTAAAGGGATGGAAACGTGGCTGACTTGTGGACTTGCCATAAGCCTCAGACTGCTGTCCATTATAAATCTGAAGGTGAGCAGTCCAGCTGAACAGAGGCAACATTTCTTAAAAATGGCAGCTGACTCAGATCGCTGGATAAGTGTCAGACTGAAACCTGACAAAATTTGGACACCCCAAAGAAAACCCAGCCAGATACACCCGGAAGGAAGACAGAAAACCATCAGCACCAACTGCAATGGCAAGCATTTAGAATTCCTTTTTCCAGTGAATTAATGGAATTTGCTTTCTTTCTCCAATACATCTGGGGTGGGGGAGTTTGTGAGTCTTTGCCCCCAGTGGCTCTGTCATTTTCCCAATGGACAATTCCAAACATAAAAGATAGTGGCCCTCTGGGGTCCTTAGGTGGCTAATTTCAGAGAAAGAATACAGGCAGTCCTCCTTTAGCAACAGCCTCCTTTAACAACCATCTGCAGTTAGAACAGTGATGAAAAAGCAACTTTACAACCAATCCTGACATTTTTTATCTCCTTGTGAAGCAATCAATCAATTTTGTCTTGGTCTCAGAGCAATATTTAACTAATAATGTATCAATTGCTATACTGTTTCTAGACAGGAAAGTAGCTCTATTCCAGTCTTTAACAGATAGATAACTCAGAAGAACAAACAAGAGATAATTGCTTTATTCTGGGGATCCTAGGCAAACTTACAGTTTGAAGAGGTGCTTCCAAAAATAGGTGGTAGCAATCTGGTTGTTCCACAGGTAAATTGACATTAGATTTTCCCCTCTTCTCCCAGGCGTCACATGGTGGGGTGATTGTGGTGTCTGCAGCCGTGTGGCTGCATGAGATGGTCCAAGAACAAAGGACTGCCCTCAGGCTAGTGTCCAGGGATGCCTTTGAAGCTCCGCCCCTTGACCCTTGCTCCCTCCCCCTGACCTGTTACCTAGAGTTATACAAGATACATAGAGTTATGGTAAACATAGAGTTATACAAGGTTAAATGGATCTATGATCCAGAACACTCCCCACTTGGAAATTAATATTTCCACTACTTACTAACTGAATATGAAAAAAAAAGAAAGATATAGCATTAAAGTATACAGTACTCAATGTTGACTAACTTGTGACTACATAGGTAAAAACTTGGTATCAAACATGCATAACTATTGGTAAATATAAAGCATGCACAATTATGCAAAAAATAAGCAAGTGTTACATCAAACAATGCATAAACACAATACATCATTTGAGGTTTCATCTTCTGGTTCAGTCTTCATCAGCTACGGTGCCAAATCGGAGATCAGCCTGGTACAAGTGTCTTTGAGTCACGACCTGACTCACGTGGCTTCACGATCTGAAAGTCAGCTTGGCAAAGTAGTTCATCAGCTGGGTGGGCCCGGTGTGCAAGTCCCATGGGCCAATAGTTCTGGTATGCGTTCTTGTCTCCAAGTGAGACAAGGTCTTCTTTCTGTAAAGGAAACTGGAACCAAATCTGGAACAGAAAAACTGGAAACCAAAGCTTCTCAGGAACAAAGGGAACTGGATTCACGGGATACTCAAGAACAGAAGAACCTGGAAAAACAGGAACAGCTGGATCTGGAAACACAGGAACAGCCGGATCTGGAAACACAGGAACAGCTGGATACTCAGGAACATCTGGAAACTCAGGAACAGCTGGAAACTCAGGAACAACTGGAACTGAAGGATCATCTGGAAACTCAGGAACAGCTGGAAACTCAGGAACAGCTGGATACTCAGGAACAGCTGGATACTCAGGAACAGCTGGATACTCAGGAACAGCTGGAATTGCAGGATCAGGAACAACAGCTGGAACTGAAGAATCAGGAACAACAGCAGCTGGAACTGAAGGATCAGGAACAACAGGAACTGAAGAATCAGGAACAACAGGAACTGAAGGATCAGGATACTCAGGAACCGAGGTGTCTGGAACCACCGATGGAGCATTGAAGATGGCTGCTACTGTTGTCATCAGGGTAGTGAGGACTTCATGTGTGGGTGTGGGTGTTTTTAACGACTTAGAGTCCATGATTTCGCGGGGTGCACCAATCATGTGCTCCCACGCTTCGCCTATGCGCGCTTCGCCCATGTGAGATGAATGGGGAAGGCAATTTTTGGCCGTCAGGCATTTGTTAATCACTGGGTCATGGCAAATGTCTTCAATAGTCTTTAAGTCCTTGCAGACTCCTATAAAGTTCATTCTTGGGATGCTAAGACAAGTGATCAAGATGATCAGAACTATGCCTAATCTCGGGTGCTTCCGCTTAGTCAGGGGTTTGAAGCGGATTGTTTGACGTTTACGGGGTGCCTGAAGTTGAAGGTTGGCGCGTTGATCCATTTGTCTATTTGAACGGACCGAGAACTCAGGACTTTCTAGCCAGGTCAATTCTGTTAACTGTGTGGCAAGGTTGGGCCACTTCACTTGGTTGTTGCCTGTTGGCACATGTTGCCATTGTTCAGGGCTCAAAGATGTTTCAACACTCTTCATTCTATTGCCTACATAAACGTAGAAATGTCTGCTTTGTTTGTAGATGTAGCTTGACATCTCCTTGCTGTCTGCGTAGAAGGTGGTAGACTGTAGTTCAAGGCACAATGTCTTCGCTGTCAAGTTGGTGAGCTTTAGTGTTAGTCTCGCTTTTCCAAAGAAGACACCGAGACTGCAGCTCTCCCTGCTGTAGACTGTGACGCATCTTAAGGCTGCATTTGCCTTTGTTGACACATCCAAGGAAGTGTACAATTCTTTCTTTTGCACTGTGGCGGGTGAGCTGGAAACA